AGTCTCTTTGTCTGTAGCTACTTTCTCTCTGTCCATTTTGCAGTCTGCGCGTAGCACATTGTATGACAGCAATAATGACCTGTGCAAAATGCACTGAACTGTTTATAAATAGGCTAATATAGATTTAACAAAGCTTCCATGGAAAGATTTTGCATTGATAACTGAGTAATCAAGTTACTCAAATCGTTTCAGTACTACTCTGTTACAAAAGTTACTTTTCTCTACATATTTATACCAAATTAACCCACTAAAGAGTAAAGTCTTTCTCGTTTGCTTTGTCTCAGTCTTCAAAATCTCCTTGAGTGAGTGAGCTATTCTTAAAACAAATTCTCTGTTGGCCACATACCATTAAGTGCAAGCAAAGATGAAAAATCCGAGCAGCTGTGAACTCCTATTGCATCAGTTGCGCAGGACATCCATAAGTTTTCATAGATGGTTAATACAGTGATTATATTACCGTCCACTGCAGAGACCTTCCAGTATCGATTTGGAAGGGTGACCCCAACCATCAGCCAGCCCAGAAATCCCAGGAAGAAAGCAAAAGCCTCCAGTATTTCATTCATATTTGCTTGTTAATTCACTGCAACTAATGCAGAGTTCTCCAGTGTGAGGACTTATTTATGCACACTTGATTCTATGACCTCTTGTCCTTTGTTAGCCCCACAGTGTGTGAGCAACCGCCCAGCTGAGATGTCACAGAAAACTACAAATCAGTTAATAATTCCAAATAGCTCACACATGACTATTGAGCCTTTTCAAAGACTCCAAATGTTTACCCAGCTTAAAGGATAACAGAGAAGTCCAGCCTTCAGATCGGTTTACTATTGTCTGTAGACTTGAAGCTATTTATCACCTTTGATGTTTGCCATGAATAATTCATATGTCAATAATATCAAAAATTATTGATGGGATTTGAATCATGTTTTGGTCATGTCACCCGCTGTGTCCAAAGAATGATAGGAAAGTTTGTAGCTTGTACCTTGTGTGGTTTTCTGACACTGCGGGGCTGTCCTGAAAGATTCATGTTTTGTATAGTGAAATCATCTGTAGAACAGCAACAGGCTAGCAAATCTACTGAGAATAGTATTAGTCTAAGAATTAGGGTTTGCTAGCAACTTGTTTCCATAGGTTGAAAAGACATAACACTGGTGTCCAATGGTGGAAAGTAACTTAGTAGTATTTTCATTCTATGCTACTTCATACTTCACTATGTTTTAGAAGCAAATATTGTACTTTTAACTCAACTACATTTATTTTATAACTTTAGTAGCTCATTATTTTTCAGAATCAGATTAATACAAAAATAACAGGTGTTATTTATCTTTGGTGGAAAAGTCAAAAGATAGCATATAAGCTACTTAAAACTATAGTAGCTCCCCCTTTACCAGCTGCAACATTAAATGTGATGAACACAAAAATAGACCAGTGATTTTTATCCAATAATATGATATATAAATATTTAACGTGCCATTCTGCATAATGAGTACTTTTGGTACTTTCAGTATTTTTACTTACTTAAGTAACATCTTCACTGCAGGACCTTTACTTGTAACAGAGTATTTCTACACAAGGGTAAGGGATCTGAGAACGTCTTCCACCACTGCTGGTATCTACACATACATGTCAGCAGCTACAGCAGCAACAACAGCTGCCTGTTCACTGAGTTATGTTATTTTGCTCTTCAACTTCTGATATTTAAGCATGAAAATACATTTTACTATATAGATGAAAATAATAATAAGCTTAATTTGAAACCAAAAATATTTTGATCATGACTTCTTGCATATCCCCTCTTATTTCACTCACTGTTTTAGTTGTACACAGTCTCAACAATAATGAGTTGCCACTTCACAAGATCTAGGAACAGCTTGACTTAACTCCTTTTGAAATACAGTATGTAAATACCATGTAAATAATAGCAAGCACAAGCAGTGCATGTGTATATACTTTTTGTTAAAGATGGGCTATCTGATATTTAAAAAGCTGGACTCAGAGAAGAAAAGTCCACAACCTAGAATATAAAACTAGATTTCTCTCAGTATGACATAGATATAAAATGCATCATTATTATAACATACAGTATCAGAAAACCTAATAGCATAGTGAAAAATATTAATAGAAACCCAAGAAAAGTGTCATTAATTACTAGTAATAGTCACATTTTCATTTTTTTCACAACAAATAACTGTTCTATAATCTTGTAATCTAAACCTTGGGGTCAGAAATGGGCTATTATAGAATTAGTACTCCTTACCTGGGAGAGCAAACAGAGATACGAACTCGCGACAGTTATACTTCCCTGTTGAATCACTAGCACAAGACATCCAGAGGTTCTCATAGATTGTGGAAGTTACAATTACACTGCCATCTTGGGTAGATTCTCTCCAATACTGATCTTGTAGTGATATGAAACTCATTATCCAGCCTACAAAACCCAGAAAAAGTGCTACAATCTCAAGGATCTCTTTCATCTTAAAATTAGATTTCTGTCAATAATTAGCAAAATTGTATAGATATGGCCACTGAGAGGTGCTCTACTCCATTTTGTGTGTGAGAGAGCAGACTCAGGATGACACTCAAACCTGGACTAATCTAAATATCAATTTCATGGCTGTAACTGCACTATAAGTCTGCTATTCCCGCCCAAAATTTATGACATGTCACATGCCTGGTGTGTCTGTCTCTTGTCCAATAGTTATCACAGCTTTAAATACATGTATAAAAACCTTTAAGACTGACATCATTTGACACTGATTGCTTTGGCATGCTTTTGAAGCTTCTTCAAGAGACAGGACAGTTCATTGTTTTATTTAGTAGTGTTTTAATAAAAAGCACTTTAGTCATACTTGCAAAATGTATAATAACTACTGTACATACAGGAAGAAATAAGTCAAGAGAGAGTTTTAAAGATGTGGTGAAGAATCGGCATGTTGTGATTTTAGAGAGGTGATCTCGAGATTTGGTGTCACCTAAAAAAGTTGGCAAAAGCCCAGGCTGTTTGAACACATCCCTAATTGGTTGCCGCTATATATTAAAGCATATATGGAGGTAAAATGGGAAGAATTATATTGTATATACTACATTTTCAAATTCAGTGTTCACACTTGCACTGCAGAACCTTCCAAATACTCTGTTTGAATAACTTTTAAAAGTCAATAAAGATCTTTATCCTTTGTTTGAGTTGATAAATTCTTTGTTTATGAGAAATGTCACACTCACAGTTTAGAATCTATATCTTATCAAATGTGGATTCTCTTTTGCCAACCAGTAATCAGAGATTCAGTTCAAAGTACTGTCATATACTTACAGTATTGCACAGATACTTGGGCTTTAACTCATACTGTTAATATTTAATTTCATTGCCCTTACTTTAAGGTGAAATATCTATTCAGTTGCTTCTGAATTCGCCTAACTGCTTAAAGGGAAAGTTCACTTTAAACAAGCCTACAGTGGCTTATGGTTTTCAATGTCTGACTGGCTGTGACCAGAAGTGGCCACTGGTGTTATGGTCCATTAATACAGTAACTGTAGTAGGATGCATCAGCTGCTTAACCAAGAGCAAATACATGCTTTGATTGTGATTACACTGATTTTCACAGATTTGATTTGAACCATTACATTTATGTACCAGGTACCTAAGCAGACTGCAGCCTAAGGTCAGATTATGACTCATGTGTGAGTTTAATGAAGTGCTTTCACTAAAGGCTGTTTAAATGTTTATACAGCTTAGACCAATCGTTTTTGTGTAAAGTATGTGACAGAATTTCAATGGAGTCACCACATCACATAGATCTTGGCCTCTGTCACTCTTTTTGAACCATACACACACACTGTACACAAAGAAGCATGAAAAATCATTGAATAGTGGACCATTAGTTTTGGGCATTTGTATCGCAACATTTAATATGAATTACACAAGAATGGTTTTTTAAAAAGGCAAGTAGTCGCTAGCATATGTCATTTTTACATCCTTGTTATTTTGTAGTTTTTCCATGTACTGTCCTTCCTGTTCTGAGAATCCCACTGTATCATATTTTTTTCAGATTTTTCTTATTATCAGAGCAGGTCATGTGTTAATAATTGATGAAAACAAATAACTGAGATCAGCATCTGTTTTTCAAAAGAGCTGGGTACAAAAAAACATAAAACACAAGATACACAAGGACTATTCAGTTACCCATTAATGGACAAAACATTGACAGTGCAAAATCAGAGAAGGCGATTACATGTAACATTTAGAAGGTCTTGGAATAATGTTTATGACATTTTCAAATATAGTTATAGTTTTATGTGAGTCATTCTTTTTGCAGCAAACCTAGCGTAACTTATTTTGAGGTTGTCGATGCTTAAGCATTGCCTCCATTTCTCAGTGAGCATTAGCCCGCCTTTTGATGTAGGACTCAGAGAAACAGACAGTTGTAAACCAGTTAAAATTGCTATTTTCATTTTTCTTGTCTTTTCTTTGTTACTATTGTGGCTGCGCCATAACAGTTTCTCGACAGCCCCATATAAACATGAGTGTGGACAGTAAAACCACTAAAAGGGAACCAGCACATACTTTTTTTGCTTTGCAAGATTTTATTGATTGCTTTTAACTCTTCTGTCTATAATATATGACTATAATAATAATATAATACTTTTTCATATACAGTCATATATAATGAAATAATAATTACATAGCATTACAATGTCAATACTGTGGCTTTTTGTTGGGTCCAAATAATTTATATGAAGACTTAATGCAGTTTCTAGACAAGATTTTTGTTTCATTTGTCTGTAATTACTAAAGGTAAAATTGAAATATACAGTAAGAATACAGCAGTCATCATCAGTAAAACCATATTGACATTTTTGTTGCATAATGTCTCAACTATTAGTAATGTGATATAGTGAGAGTAACTTATAGATGGTTGTAACACTATAAGTATTACAATATTATTATAATGTTATAAGAATATGCATATGAATATGTAACAGATTTAGAGTAAGCAGCAGAAAATGAGCACATACCAGATCTAAATGTGTTGAATTTGAATAGCTGTCTTCTTCTGCTCTCTTTCCTTCTGTTGCTCTAACTCAAAGCAGCACACACGCTCCACCTCTGGCTTCTACATAGTTTGGGTCAAGGTCATTGGGAAGCTTGCTGTTCTCTCCCCATATATTCAGCTCTCCAAACACACCTGTCTCGATCATCTCCTCCTGCCAAGGGATTGGGACATTGCCAGAGGCAAAGTCACTGTAGAACTCAGCATCCTTGTTATCCAGGACCACACCTCTGATGGTGCTGAAGGCACCCACATCTTCAATATCTTTGGCATAGACCATCTTAGGATCAGGGACAAATGGTGGAGGAAATGTTCCTTTTGACGAAGCACAGAGGGCACAAACATATTAGCGGTGTATGGCTGTTATTTTTGCATTTGCCCCCTCATTGTGTCCCATCCATATAAGGAATTAATTAAGCTTGGAATTTCATTTTTAACTTCTCCCATCCAGTGGGATTTGATTGATGAAATCAACAACATGGTTCAATTAATGCATTTTTGACTGTGGATGATTGTGTAAATGTCACCAACCTGCTTCCAGACAGCCCCAGTTAATATCCTTGAAGAATGGCTGATTCTTGAGCTCAGAGCAGTAGTTATTTTTGAACCCGAGACGTTTCGTTGGGTCCTTTTCCATTAGGCCTTCACAGAGATTTTTGCACTCTTTGCTAAAGTTAGGTGTGTATGAAACTGTATTGTTCAGGATTCTGAAAGTTACCTCATCATTCTCAACCTGAAGAAAGTGAACATTGGGAATGTATGATTTTGACAAAGTGAATTGGTTCTGGACAACAGCGGTCTGTTCTGCACATTTTGTACCTTCTCTCCTCGTTTTACAAAGGGCCCTTTGGCGGCAATCATCTCATACAGGGTGACTCCCAGGGTAAAGTAGTCCACTGTGTAGTTGTAATCCTTCTTCTGGAGCAGCTCTGGTGCCATGAAACCTATATTCACAGACAACATGATTTCAACATGTGGTACAGATGGCTACAGTAACATTCACCTGGATGACAGCATACCCTCATTTGAACCTGTTTTGTTTGACCTTATCTTAAATCAGATTTGGTCACCCACCTGGAGTTCCTGCACACCCGGTAGTTGTGTCTTGTCCCTGTGGAAGTTCAACAGCCAGACCCATATCTGACAGGCGGACATGTCCTGAGTGAAAAGACTTTGTTTACAACAGTGGCATATGGCTACAGAATGGACCACCAGCTATTTATTTGTCTGATCTGTAATTACATCATCCTGTGTTCACTTTAATGTAAGACAGTACTTTATTTTTATTGTTAGATTCTGTAGAATGATGATTACTTCATTTGTGATTTGACTGGGCTGATGCATGTTTTGATCCAGTCCTCTGAACTGAACCTGCATTTGAGCATGATGCAGTATCTGTTACCGTTGTGATTTACCCTGGCTGAAAGTCTTGCAGCTCTATGTGTCAAGCGTAAGTTAGCTGGTTATCCAAGGATGTTGTTTAGAGGTATGGACCCCAGAGAGTTTCAAATCAGTGTTTTCAACTAAAAATAGTGTTTGTTAAAATGTGTTTGGAAAAAAATGGTAGAAGGCCAAAGTTGGATGTGTTAGGACATTCAAGTACATGAAATGCTGTTCACCTGCATCATCCAGCAGTACGTTCTCTGGTTTCAGGTCCCTGTAGATGATCCTGTGCTGATGAAGGTGCTCCAGGCCACAGATGACCTGAGCTGTATAGAAACATGCTCTCTTCTCATCAAAACCTGGACTTTTTTCATCCACATCATACATATGAAACCTGAGAAGAGGGAGGATGTTAATGTGTTTTCTGAAGCATTTGTGAAATCAAGAAAAATAAAATAGAGAAAAGCCATATAAGACTTATAATGTTATTTGTGAGTATTGTGTATTAGCTGTGAGGTTTATTCACACTACCAGTCAAAGGTTCGGCACACTTTCCTGTTCAATTCAGTGCGAATTGATTAGTCATAATTAGTAGTACACCTTAGCCAGACTAGTAGAAATGAGAGGAGTGGAACACTGTTCCATGTTGTTAAAGTAACTGCAGAAGTCACTATGTAGCATGTGTTTTAAAGGCATAGTTTTTAGTTCAATGTGTGTGTGTGTGTGTGTGTGTGTGTGTGTGTGTGTGTGTGTAGCTGCATTTTTTGTTTAAAATAATCAGTGTGTGTGTAGCTGCATTTGTTGTTTAAAATAATCACCTGAGGTCTCCACCGTTCATGATGGTCATAATTAGACAGAGGTCAGTCTTGGTCTGGAAGGCATACGCCAGCATCACAATGAAGCGACTATGAACTTTTGCAAGGATTCGTTTCTCCACAATTGCTCCCTAAAGACAAATCAAACATCAGGACACTAGTCCAACAAAACCAGGAATGTACAATGTCAACAGTTAAAAAAATAAAAGCCCCTACACACCTACATTCTGGGCTCTTTGAACTTGTCAAACACAGGACCTCGCATTTCATTTATGTGTGACAGGCTCATGGCCCTGATCCAACCCTTTTTCACATAAGCAGCGCTTTTTATTCACTATGCTTGCATTTAATTTAGGTGTTTCGGTACCCAAATGGTGGGCAGCGATGTCCCATGATGAGCCTGCACGTTTTCTTTCCGACCGGTCACCTCAGCAGGTGACTTCTTTCCCTCTACATGACGTTATGCTAATCAGGTGCACTCTGATTTGGTTTGAAACCCTGCAGACTTTTGGTTCTCCACAACACATTAAAACCCCTGCTGGCACTGTGAGATGGAAATGGGCCATCCTTAATATTATAGTTACACCTGGGCTTTTCTTTCTAATATGTCAAAATGTCTATTTTTGAAAAATACTTCACTGTACGTTCTAGTTTATTGATATACGTACCTGAATGGATGAGAGCCGCTACTGTTGAAGTTAAACAGCTCCGTTCCTCTTACACGAAGCTATGTGCACATACAACCTTGGCAGAGAGCTACCCTGTCTCATACTGTAGCATAGTTAATTAAGTGGACTAATATAAGAACTTAAAGTGTGATTGTGTTAGGCCAAATGGCTGCAGATAGGTGTGTATAGTGTATAACGTATAATGATACACAAACCCTTAAAGTATTCCACATATAACCACATATAATTATTCTTCTTGTGGAAAGGCCCACATATCTTTACTAGTATTTATACCTCAACAATTAAAGTGATGCTGTATTGGAGTGCTGCTTTAATCACGGCCAACAAAATTAAAAGTTCATTATCCACTGATGCGTTGAGAAGCAGCAGGCATCAGCCTAGTGTACTGCCTCTGAGCTGCTTTGTGGAGTCATTAGTAGAGTCAAGCTTCTTTGCATTGAGCCTTAGTAAAAACTAAACCTCTGCACTCATTGGGGAATATTCTCTCACTTATTTCCTGCTGTAATGCCATTCTGAGGTTGTCAGAAGAACAAACTCATCTTGTGTTGTAACTCTTATGTGTGACACTGTGAATGGCTGTTAGATGCCATTTCAGTGATTTACCTCATAGCCTTTGCGCTTCTTCAGCCTTTTCTTGTCCAGCTTCTTGTTTGCATACATTTTGCCTGTAGCCTTAGCCTGGCAAGCATACACTTCCCCAAAACCCCCTTTACCCAGGACCCTGAAGTCCATGAACCACTCCTCATCGAAAGGCTGGCTCTCCAACCATTTGAACTGAACAAAACGCAGGAAGTACATACTCGTCCTGTAGCCATCGAGGGCCTTTTTTTCCAGGTGTTTGAGCAGCTGCTGCTCACTCTCTTTAAATAGATCACCACAGACATTTTTGAAGTCTTCCTTAACTCGAGTAATAGCCTTTTCCTCCAGGAAGTTGCAAAAATGCTTTGAAGCTGACTCATAGTATTTATTGGCTATTTTTTGGGCCTTCTGCACTCGATCCATCTCTTGGCATATGGTATATTCTTCAATGTCTTTCCACAGCTCTACAGCGTTTTTATGGGTTGTGTTGCTCTCCAGAAACTGTTGGAACAGACGCTTGCCAATGGGTTGTTTGACACATATGCTGTCAAAGGCTGTGTCTAGAGCTGCCTTCATGTGTTCACACTCTCTGATGTGTGGGAGTTTCAACCTGGCACGCATCTTCTTGTCACGCATGGCAGCTGCTGCAGCTCCATCCGTGTTGTCACGGGCTGAAATGTAGGCACAGTTTGCCACCACCGTCTCCAAACCGCCAATGTCCATGTCTGCACCTTTGTCTGTGGCACACACAAAACAAGTTTTGGTAGATACATTTAAAATTAAAAATCTTTTTGGGATGCATCTTGATTAAATCTGCTATCATATTATATCCCTTAAGTTCAGAGCCGATTCTGAACATCTTGGGGCCCTAAGGGAAAGCTTAACCCCTGCCCCTCCCAACCCACAAGACTTAAATTTGCAAATAAAACACATAACTATTTTGAATAAATTGTTTGTGAAACAACATCATAATGACCAGTAGTGCTAATTTAAACAGGACTTTAAGGAACCTAATTTCCATTATAGTGAGTAAACCTGTTGTTTAAACAGTAGCAGCAAGGCGGTTGTAGCCTGTGGGGTCATGCTGTTCATGTCTCTACTGTCCATGTGCACTAAAAAACTTGTCACACATACAGTACCTCTGGCCCTGACATGGTCCTTGTTTTCATAAATGTGATGGTATGTGTGTTTTAGGTGGTATTGACAAGTATTTTTGTATGTATAGTATTTTGATATTTTTAGATGTTATGCAATAGGGTAAAGCTGAATATTTTAATCAAATGCCCAACAATGTGCCTTAATCATATAAATTCAGTCCACACAGCTTGGTATTATGTGAGATAATATTGTCCACTTTTAGATTTCAGGAGGGTTAGCGTTATTCTAGGTAGACTGAAACAAATATGATGGAAAAAGCTCTCCTGATAACATTATCCAAAGCAAGAACAGGGCTCTAAGACTAACATTTCATACTGGTGGCATTAGATAAATGTATTTATTGATTCCACTAATTTTGCCCTTCTCAAAACAAAGGGCAGGGGAGAGTGATACCAGAAAGCTCACAGTGACACCAGAAGCCTGGTCAGTCACAATAGATACAAGTAAAAAGTTTTTAGCACATAAATAACTGGGGATTTGTGTGATTCAAACATCTGCATGAGGCGATTACACATCACTAAATGCACCAGAGGAAAAAAAGACTTGAAGCACAACAACACGTTCGTGAAGCACGTCTCATGGTATGTTGGTGTGGACTGACACATCTGATAAACTGGAAGTCTGTCTGTTCTGTTAAAGGGGCGAGAGCGAGTTTGCAAGCATTACTATGACAACAGGCAGAACTAGTTTGTCTGCCACAGTAACATCTGTCCAGCATTTTTCAGGGGATGTACTAATTATTGAGGGAGTGATGATGATTGCACAATAACTGTTACAGCTTATAAAAAAATATTAACTGTGGACAAAAGTAACTGGGGCAGGTTTTTTATTTTAGGTAATAGAGATGATACGGAATTAAGCTTGTGTTCTCTTACACGTGCACACACTCACTCGCACAAGGTAAGGGATTTGAGCAGCAGCAATCCAGGGACAAAGAGCATTAGGTCACACTGGGCAGCCCAAGCTCTTTTCACTTCCTTGGCCTGGTTCCCCTCTGTCTTCTCCATTCTGCAGATTACCACTACAAAGTGGTCACTTCCCCTTCCCATATATTGCAGAGAGAAGGAACCTTTCATCGTTGGCCTGCTTTTGTTGGACTCTTGTTTATTTAACATACAGTTTGAGGATTTCTATATGTCTTCTAATAAATTTCTTGTCTTATTATTGAATGCTTGTGGAAAAAAGGCATATCTGGGAAAAACTTAACACTGAAGAACTGAAATAAAAAACATCTCCCATGAATGGACATATTAAATTGTTAGAAAGATAACTTCTGCAGTTAAGTATTATTGTATCTCTACTGGAATATCATACATCATACTGCATGTTGGGCCCTTAATGTGCATTGCAGCATGTTAAAAATACACCTGACTGCAACAAAAGAGGACAGGAAATGTAATGTGCAGTTAAATCTTCCTGGGTGTATAGTTCATGTGTACAACATAATTCTCTGTGCTGACTGGTACATGTGGTACTGTTGACTGGTGCTTTCCTGACTGTTGATACCAGAGATTTCCAGTATATACTGATAACTGACCTCACTGTTAATTAACCTACATTTGTGACTTGCTTTTAAAAATATTTAAACATGTGGAACACTCAAAAGTGATGATCTCATCACATATGAAACTTTAGTGTTGGTCGATTTTAGTGTATCTTAAATCTTTTCATCTCAAACGTAAAAAATTGTGAAAATCAAAATTAAGGCATTGTCAAGACTGGTTTTAATTTTGAAGTCTACAAAACCTTTGGTTATGAAAACTGAGGGGAATATTTAATGTAAAATTTTATAGCACAATGTTTTATACAATGTTTTACATAAATTTTATAGCAATAATGTCAGCAGTCATATCAATAACTAGTTTTCCAGCTTATATTCTATTAAAGAGAGATAACAAGATTAATACCACTTACAGTATAATTAAGCAGCACTCACCGTAGTTTCTGGGGTAGCAGGGAGTCAGTCAAATGAGAACTTGAAGGAAATTGGTTAAGAACTACTAGGTAGCATCCAACATATATTTTCTCTTTTTCTTGGCTCCTTTTATTTCCATCAACCAGTTCTGTCCTATTTTCTTCAACACACTTATTCTTTTCACCTCACCTTCGTTCCTGCAGCGCAGTGTGTTGCGAAGGTTGGGGCATCAGATCGAGGTTTACTCTGCATCTCAAATCCTACTTGGCAGTTCATTAGCTAGTGAGGATTACTTCAGGACATTACTAAAGGAAGCAGCTAGGCAGAAGCTATTAGTGTAACTCAGCAGCAGAAGTGATTACTGATGAGTCCTGTTCTAATTCGATCAGCGTCATTCAATTGTTCAACACAGAGTTTATGCTTGGTTTCAAAGATAAAACATTTTGTACAAGGAAGGCATGAACACTGACCCATGACTGGTGCTATTCTTGATTCATAGTTTCCTTGTCCAAGCTGCTATGTTTTGAATCGTGAGGTTGAGACACACAGCTAAGTAAAATAACCACAATTTTGACTTCATTTAGCTAAATAATCTGTTGAATAACAGTTTGTCTTAGAAGCAGGCTACAGATCATTGAACTACAGTATGTCTGTATGAAATTTAGCAAGTAGGCTAATTGAATTTTACACATTGAAACTCTGTTGTGAGAACTGAGCCGGTTTTAAAACGTTACTTTTGGGACTGACTAATCTTGCAAGATGTTAGGTATTTTTGTCAAAGAAGAATGATAATTTTGTTTCAGATCACACTATACTCAGGTGTTAATAAATAACAATTACAAGAACATCAGGTCTTGGCATTATATTAAAAGTATTCCACATTCACCATTTAGACAATGTTACAGGACAACTGGATATCTTGTGCCAGAGCAGGAACACTTCTGAAAACTAACATTTAGCCAGGATGATACAAACAGGTGGCTCAGTAGAAGAAATATTTGAACCAACACTTAAAACATAGTCCTATTAAGGTCTATTTAAGTCTGTTTGTTTTCCTGTACACTGGGCTGGGGCAGCTGAAAAGACCCTGAGTACAAATCCTATTGGGGATGTGAGACCGACTTTGCTTTCAAGTCTAATCTAAGAGCAGGAGTTAAACCTGTCTCATACTGACACCTACTGCTCTTTCATCTGACAAAGTCAAAGCTGAGATCACAGAAATAGTATCAATGTACCTTTAATCCCCTGAACAGACATCAGTATCAATCATTACCTGGGATTACATTCATTCTTACACAATTGCACTGCTACAATTTTATCTTTTCCTACTGACTCAATAATGGCATGTTGCTCTTTTACTAACATTGGTGGATTTTTTTTTTCTGTAATTCAATGTGTGGTAAAATTCCAAATACATTTGCATACACACATTGTACCTGACAGAAAGTCTGTTGTCCTCTGGCAGCCAAGCTGTAAGTGGGCTTTAGCTGATTAAACAGAGAAGCTTCTCTGCTGTGAGCTGACATTTGACACACATCTTTGTAGTTAAGGACCTATGCATCAGTTTGCTTAACTTACAACTTCTGCAAAGTTCCATGTTAGAAACATGTTCATAACACCAAATGTTATTTTTATTATGATGCTGGTTTGGGTTCATAAGATACATCAAGACACATTTTTTCATTCAAATTTGAGTCTTTGCCAAAATCATAAGAAATAAATGTACTAAATTAAAAAAAAATATTAAATTAGTTTATTAACTTTTAATTAAACATATTAAATGTTTAAATCAATAAATTATCTAATTAAATACATTTTTGTCATTTGTACATCATATACTCATTGAGAAATGTTCTGTCTATGGAGATTACACCAGACAAAATACCACTGGAAGGTTACTGAAATTTCACCAAAAATGTTTTGGAGGGGAAACTCATTCAAAACTCATTTGAAAACAAAAAGATATTTAACAATTACACTGACTATAAAAACAGCATGTAGTATGCATGCATGCATTGTATTATGTTGTACAGTAGTATGTATTCTTCACTCAATATTTTGTGGTTATTCATTGTTTGAAGTGCGTCCTTGATGAGGTGGTTTAGGCTAGCACCAGACAGGGACACATACCGTGGGTCCTTATGAATTTTTGGTGGTTTTCTGTTTAGGCTCCAAGAGTTCTAGTTACAAAAACATGTTCTGACTACATGTTTGAGTAGAAGGATGAGACGCACATTT